GAAAAAAATATCAAGAGACAAAAAAGTTTCTAAATTCAATGGCTTTCTAGCTAACTAATAATTAAAAAAAAACAAATTTGCAACCAAATTTTTCTGGTTCCAAAGACAAGGGGGCCCACGAAAAAGTGTCTTAAGGGGATTTCTTGCCAAAAAGCGTAGCACTGTGAGATTCTGCATGTCATAAAACTCCTGTGTACTAAATTTAGTGATTTTCGTGCAACATGGTTTTGAGATATAAAAAAGACTTCTTAGGGGCAGATTGCAGGGGGCGGTAGCTTCGAAAGAGGGGGCCAGTTGCCAGAAAGAAAAAATACGTGTCCTCTAAATTTGTCTTAAGAATCTATGACCAAATTTTGTTGCATGCATTTCGGGACACCCTGTACTTCCTGAATTAACTTTTTTGATGTTAAAGGCAGAGAAAAAATATATTGATCGATATATTTATAGTTCGTTATCTAAAAAATTGATAAATTATTCTGATGCAAAAAGCAAACGTCAGGCGTTACCTATGACGAATTACGTAATGGAAAACTAAAATATTTACAGCCAGATGACAGTTTCCTGTAAAAGATAAATCGGTATAGATTATTTATTTAGCCGATATCACCATCCTTTAGGATATTTATAATTCAGAAATTGTTTTAGTTTCTTTCAAGATTACGATACATTATTATATTAAGTAGAAATTGTTATATGAAAGTAATGTTCGTTACATTTTTTAAACAAAGGTACTTAACTACAATTTTCCCCTTACTAATTGATCAACTCTATTCTATTCGGAAACACCCATATAAGCACGATAACATACACCTGTATCTATATCCGAGTAAATAACAACTAATCCTCATATTTAATATAGTAATGGACTAATGGTAATTGTGATAATGATTACTAAGTGTACTTGTGTATCTAAAACAAATCTCAATATCAGTCACACGTTATTTTAGATGAGAATTCAGGGTTAGAAAGTGTTATACCAGACCTGTTAAATAACCGAACTTTTTGAATTACGCTCTAATGGAGATATTTAGTGATATGTGGTTGGAAGCTTTGTGTTGTGCATAACCTCTCTTGGATGGTTGATATCTCATTTAGTTTTCGTGATATTGTTATTTCAGTACAACATGTATAAGAGTGAGTGAGTTGAAATGTGAGATTTGCTGAAACAATGATACAACGTAAGATTTTGCGTGAAACTGGAAAAAAGTTCCACGGAATCGTTTCACCATTTGAAACAAGCTTGCGTAGATGATGCTTTGTGTAGTACGCAATGTTACGAATGGTTTACACATTTCAGGTCGCCAGTCAATTGAGGATGATTCTCGACCAGGAAAGCTTTCAAATTCAACTGATACATCAAAATTTGTTCCTAGATTGATGATCGAACAACTGAAAGAAAATCGTTCGAAGACGTTTGTCGGCAACACCTGGAACAATCCAATGACTGAAAAATTCATTCGAAGGATCATAACGTGAGACTGAGTTAACGGCTACGACAGTGAGACAAAAGTTCAATCATCACAGTGGATTAGCAATGAATCTGCACGCCCCAAGAAAGCGCGTCAGTCTCGATCAACTCGGTCAAACTGATGCTTACTATTTTTTTCGACTTTAATGGAATTGTAAATTTTGAATTCTTGCCTCAAGGTGAAACAGAGAACTTGCGTGTACTATCAAGGCGTTTCACAATGGTTACCTGAAAAAATTCGCAAAAAGAGACCAGAGTTGTAACGAGGTTCCTGCACTATGACAATGCGACCGCACACTTAGCTTTGTCAATTCCTTAGTTATGTGTCAAAAATCATATTACTGTCCTCCCTCACCCTCCTTAGTTGCCAGACCTGGTTCCTGGCGATTTTTTCTTATTTTCGAAATTAAAATTACTGCTTCGCGAAATGGAAACACTACTGGGAAAAGTATGTAAATAGTGAGGAGGAGTACTGTGAAAGAGACAAGACTAATAAAGTTCGGCTATTTTCTGGACAGATCTCGTAGGTAGACAATTAATGACACGTTTTTAGTTTATGTTTCAAGATAAAATGCAATTATTAAATCAGAAATATGAAACTTTGTTTACGAGCTGCTCTTATAACTTAAGGAAATTCGGGGTATTTTGTATATAAATCCAGTATATTCCATATACCGGAAATAACCTGAATACTTAAATTTTTACAAAAATTGTTAACTTAAATAATTATACATCTCTAGCAGATGCTTTCAAGTATTAAATTTCTATTGAATTTCATCGAGTAGGTTCATTATACTATTTGTTCCTAAAGCACAGCATGTACAAAATTAATACGCTCACACATTCCATTTAAATTAGCAGCATAGCCATTATTTTAATTATTTTGCATTCCTTTCCCCTACTATTATTTTTATATCAATTTCAAAACGATATAAGTTGACAATCGATAAATAAGTAAATAAACTACAATATTTTTCACGAATACAGTTTTCAAATAAATATGTTATTGAAATTTATTCCTTTCGTATCAAGTTGGATAGAACGAAATATTTTGCTCCATTCAAAATTAAAAGAAACTTATATTTTAAACTAATTGAATTGTGGAAGACAACTACTCTGTGGACTACATATCCCTTCTAGCACTCAATTACAGACCCAATATCTAGTAAATAGGTAAGTTCATTCATCATGAGAATTACCAGTTTCGAATTTATTAGTTCTCACCAGTATGCCATAGCTAAAACGACAAGATATGACGTATACTTTATAGAATATATGTATGTCACCCACAAGCTTCTAGTATTTATGGCTTCTATATCAATTAAAGGACTAAAGAAGTATATTATTCCACATACCGCAAACTTTTTTTTGTAGCCATTCTTGAAAGTGATTCTCCTTTAGCAATAATTAAAGTACAATGGTGCAAAAGAAGAGAACTCTTTTTTCACTTTTTATGAATATTTAAAACTGGCAAAAGTTTTCTATTTTGTTCATCCAATTTTGTCACTTCTGAAGTATCTTAGGTAATCTTAAATCTTGTTTTAGATCAAAGTTGATAAAGTATGTTCTTTTCATAATTTGTCCGTAAAGTAACCAAAAGCTTGGCTAAGCAAGCAGCTATCGGCAGAGCTTTTTCATCAAAAAATATCCTTTGATTCTAATGTGTTGTCTACTAATATAGGGCTGATATTTGTTCAGTTATTCAAAAACCATTGATGGTTCAGATTTCAAATTGGAACAGTATAGTTCTCTCGTAGCTGCTACCTACATATAAAATTTGATCTTAAACTAATCAGTGGCGTCGATGTCAGAAACGTTTTGAGAGGATTTAACTGTAAAGGAAGTTATTTGATTGCACACTATTACAAAAATTATACAAATGATTCTTTTCAATCCGGATATGGCTAAACCAAATAACATTTTTGAGACTCTTGACTTTTTAAATGCTTCATATAAGCCTATAAAAGAATATTCAATTACCTTTCTCTATATATCTTCAATGTTTCTTTAAATCTTTAAAGCATTACAAAGCCCTTAGAAGCAGTTTTAGAAATACTTTTCCTCTTTACTTTCTTTCAAAAGGAATCAACATTACTGTTATACCCTGTAGAGAAAACTGAAAATTGTAACTTAATATTCAGTGCTGAATGAAGAAAAAGTCTTTAACTTGATGATAAGTACCATATAAAAATGAATACTGTGAAATATGTCAGGGTTCTTTCATAAAATTTTCCACAATGACAAATCGTTTTAGATGAAAAGCCAACAAAAACGAAGGCAAATCCCGTCGCCTGTTCGTCGCGATAGCTTTAGCTTGAATGGTTCAAATGCCAAAAGAGGGTAAATTTTTTATTGGTTACAAGTTTTATAATAAAAACATTCGCCGACTATCTTTATAAATTATATTTTCTAAATAATATTTATGAGCTGTGAAAATTTTAAAATACAGTTAATTTATTTCGAAACTAAATCATATATTAATTATTATAAGTATGAAATATTTAGATATTGACGATAAAGTGTAGACAAATATTATAAGAAAATATGTCAATTATTACATTTGTTATGGAAAACAGTTTATTTATTGACAATTTCTCAAAATAATAATATAACCGTATATTCAACAGTATACAAATATTCCTAAAGGCAGTCATTAGATATCAGGAATTATTTAGTAATATTGCTATAAGAACACTTATGGGAAAATATTGTTTCATATTGTTCGACATAGTTTCCTTGCTTTTTAGTCCAGTTCTCCACAAAGTTGTAAAAGTTTTTGGCATGTTAATTGAACTTTTCACTGTCTCTATTACTGTTTCCACAAGTAGACTTTCAATTTTAAACGTTATTAAAAAAAACAGATAAAATTCTTTTGGATACATCACTAATAATCAGCAAGTAAACAACAGTTCAATAGCTGAAATCACTTTACATTTTGTTTTCCTGCTGAAAATACAAAATTTTTTTTCGACATTGAAAATAGGTATTGTGATTTTTATGACAGTCGATATAGTGACAAGAGGACAAACTATAGAGCATGCGATATCATCAAAGCTCACACAACAACGCTCGCTACTATGCTGCTGCTCGTGAACAACATATGTTACACGTTCTAAAATTTTAGATATTTTAATATCCGCCACACTATCCGAACTTGGCTCTATCAGATTTCATTTGTTTGTACCTTTCAAAGAACATTAACAGAGCCAGAAGTTCATAAAAGGCAATTGAGGTAGTGCAAAGTTGTTTGAAAGCTCTTTTTTTATTAAGAATGTCCAGAAGCTTATGAACACATAAGCAAATTGTGTTTTAGATAAGGAGGAAATACCAGAATTGAAACGATAAGCAAAAAAAATCAATAAGCATTCTTACAACAATGGTATTAAACAACCCTTTCTTATTTAATAATTTTTCTTGGCGGAAACCCTTAATAGTTCATTGATGCCCACAATTATGAAATGCTATATGGAAATAAATAGGAAATTTGTAAATTAGTAAGGAAAAGCAAGAAGTATTATGAAAATAAACTTACATGATCGGAAATATAACCTAAGGGAATTTCAACCCAAGATAACAGCCTGTGGGAACGCCGTTTTCTGAGTTCAAAAGCGTGATCACCTGTCAATGAATATTCATAAATCAAAATAGAGTAGACATTGCGTATTTTTAGGAACTAAAATTGATCATAGCAATTAGCAAGATTACTTTTAAAGTGGCGCATCCTATCAGTCAAGTCTTTTTTACTTGACACAAGTGTTATTTTATAATAATCACCCTTCTGAGAGACCTTCAATGACAAATATTCCAAGTAACATTTATTTACCTCAATACAGATTATGTCAAGCAGATGTTATATGTAACCTGTTATATGTAACAAAATTTTCTTTTAAAATAACAAAGATAAGACATTAAAAGTCAAAGGTATCACGGGTGTTATAGGCTAATATCGTCTTAGGTGGGGTATGTACATCCTTCGGACAAAAGACACTCGAAAAGTACGCTATCTACATCCATGTATTTTTAATCATATAACACAATAGAGATCTTAATTATTATGTAATTCCACTTTACGACCAACATTCAGTAACATTGCAACAGAAATATCGCTGTAATTTAGTTAAAAAAGTTCTAGATTAGTTGCCACGCGGTTGGTTAAGACTTCTTGGCGTTTCGAGAGACATATTATTATATCAAAATTTAAAGTAAAACAATTAGATGAAATGTGCATACATACAGGATGTTTTAAAATGTTTTTTTAATTGTTGCAATGATTTTGATATTATTTAATATTTCTCTGTTATATTTGGCAGAAAGATATCTAATCTTTAAGAAACATTAAATTATGATAAAAATAGTTTCCCTCTATTACCAAATGCTCACAGCAGTGACCCAGATGTCCCCTCCCCCCTCTGAATTCTACATCACTGTTAAAGTTAGTAATTTTGGTATGATTTTTTAATTTTTAAACATTTCTTACAAAAATAATGTACTCCTATTTCACAACGATAAAATGAATAGTTTTGGGGATAATTGGGGATAATTGCGAGATAATTGGGGATAATTGTGCGATAATTGGGGCTATACGATATTCTGATATTATTATTTCATTTATTGTTCATAATCGTATTAGCTCATAAAATTGCATTAGTTGCACAAATTAAACTTCGTAGTTCACTTTTTGGAAATTATTTAATATGAAGACAGAAGCAATTATAGGTAAAAATTTAAAATAAACACAACTACAAAGCAATAGCGGGTATTCCAGCAGAAAGTGAGTCATTTTAACAATGAATGTCGAATATACGAAGTAAAATTTGAAATATGTTGCTTCACCAAAAATTTTCTTTTAATTCAAAAAACTTATTTTATATTTATGTGCGAATACACGGTATTCTATTTTTCTTATACGACTGTAGTGAAATGGAAAAATTGTTTCAGGCAACCAATGCAATTTTATGCCTAAGAATGCCAAAATGAGCAATGCCAAAATGAGCAATGCAAATATGAACAATTAGAATTTAGAGGGGATAGAAACTGCTCCTTTCTCCCTGATGTATGCCTCTGGTAATAAGGTAGAACCTATGTTTTCCCATAGTTTAATATTTCTTAAAGTACCTAAAGTTTCTGCCAAATATGATAAAGAAATATTAAATAGTATCAAAACAATCGGCAAAAATAAAGCTCAGTATTTTAGGTAAAATCTTCATGTTCTGGGTCAAGAATTATCAGTTAGCATATATCCTGTATATCGTTTAATAAAAAAACAACAATAGGTACGCCTACAGAAAGTGATACTAATCATTGTAATATGTTGTCATATATCTTATCTGCATGTTATAATCAAACAAACGTTTACACAATTACAGTATTGCATTTAATGTGTACCTTTTTAAGAGTAACAAGGATGACAGTATTATATAACATCTAGGTTGAAATAGATATTCACCAGAAAATAAACTTTTTCTTATTCATATACACGAAGGCAGGGATTTTCTCACGGCTTAAACGATACGAAAGTGACTTTTTTTCTCACTTACGAAGAAAATATTATCAGGAGATGAGAATGGAAATATCAAATTTATGATTTTCTTAATTAAAACATTACGATGATTAAAATATCATGATAATTTACTGCATTATTTTTACTATATTATGATAAAAGTATTAAGGTAATTCAAATAAATTCAACATTTTTTTTTCTAAAATAATTCCATCAATAATTGATGAAGTCAAACAGTGTGTTTTGGTACCAAAAATCTACGTATGATACTTAGGAATTTGTTTAATTGATTTGAATTAGATTAATGTCAGAGTAGATAAATGAGTGAAGTAATTATAAAATACATATTGCTGACAGTTTCACATTAATTAAATTGAACATATAATTGTATATGAACCAAAAACTCATATTTTATTTAGGATGATTTTTTTAATACCTGAACTTGACGCTGAGTGTATCGTCACTCATAAAGAAAAAAGCATTTTCGTCACTTGTTTCAAAGTACACTATTACCAATTACAACAAGACTTTCTGTTGTGTCTATTATTTTTAAGATAAAATTGTGAGTATTAAAATTTTCAACTCGCTTAATGCTTTTTAAGGCTTCTGTTAAAATAATTTAAACAGTTAATTAAAATTTTTAAAAAAGATTTTTAAAAATTGACAACAACAATGTAGTTGCGCAAGATAAAATCAAAACATTAATTTCTTATCTTCCTCTCTACATAGAACATATGTCCATGTACTGATATAACTAAACTACTAACAATATGTATGGCACTTCAGACAGAATATTAACATTTTTGAAGTTTGCATGTAATGTAATATAATGCCATTTATTTTGTAAGTTGCGTACAGTAAAGAAAAAACTGATATTGAACAAGAAATTGTGAATTGTAGTATGAAGCAAAAATATTTTTCAAAAAAGCCATATACACTTACGATGTGTTCATAGATAATTTGCGGTGCAAAAAATGAAGATACCTTTTAAACAGCAAATTTGTTTCAAAGTTGAATCGTATTATTTCAAAATTCTAACGATATTCCAAAATTATATAATATATAAATTATTGCAAAATTATAATCAATAACAACTGCGCCCACAATGACCACTCGGCCTACTAATCTAAATCTGATTGGTGTAAGTATTAACCCTGATACAATTTTATGTGTCCTAAATATAAGCGACAAATAAAAAAAATCTATAGTCAGCCAGCTTCAGAACTTAAATCCTTGCCATGATGCTATCACATTCTCCGCATTACACCCTCTTCTGGGATGACCCAAATAGTGCAGAATGGGGTCACTAAGTTAGGAACAAACAGCGAATGTGCTGGGGTTAGATACAAATGTGCCATTCTGGGGGTAGACAATTTTGTTAAGGATTGCGAGTTAAAAATGTCACCATAGTTTAATTTTAATTTAACACTTGTAGCAAATTAACAGTGGGATTCCTACCCATCGTAGAAGTGTTCACGTCATATCTTGTGAAAAAAAAGTAAAAATATTTTTTTATCCTTAGGTAAGGATTCAAAAGTTTCTATTAACATAAAACTGACAATATATAGTATCAGAGGCAAAAAGTGCTTTATAAATTTAATTGAAAATGTGCTAAAATTAACTCAAAGAACAACAATAGTCTAATGTCGGTTTTACAGTAACAAATTTAATGAATTTTCTTGCAATGTTAAAGAAAAATCTAAGGTTCTTGCTTATTTTTACCGAAGGAATGTTCTCCAAATATGTGTATGTACTTTCACATGGAACATTCAGCGATAACTTGTATAATATATAGGATGCCTCTAAAATATTTATACAATGATATGAACACAGCGATCAAACGAATAAGAAAATTGTCTATATTAATCTTGCATTCATCTTGATAATGGGCTACATTCATAGCGTGTGGATTTTCATCAGCATAAACGTGTTTGTTGTGGAAATTTGTCGCACCACTTCTAGTAAATGAAAGACTTATCTACGTTCATATTTTGTCTCTGTGTAAATAATTTTTCTTATTTTGTGGAAACTGGACAAATCGTTATGAGTAAGAATACTTTAGTGCCAATAAATATATGGGTTTTTATTTTTAATGTTAACTTGTAGCGACTAGTGATAAAAATTGATACAATTTTTGACATTCGGTATCGTCTTAAGCATCAACAGTAAGTTTAATTAAGTGAGGTTATTCTATTTTAGTACCAGTAGTTTATAATAAAGTACATTGGTACAAATCTTTAATGTCATAATACAGAAAATAATTGAAAATATTGCAGATCAATAGCTGCAATCCAAATCAGAGACAAAATCCTGATAACAGTTTTTAATATCTACTGTTCTATTGCTTTAAATTTCTAGGGTACAGTTTTCTAAAAATGATAATTTACTTATAAGAGAAAGAGAATTAAATTAACACAATTTTAAGTATAAAAACGTGCTGTACAAAATATAATCATGATTTTTCTCTTCCACACATAGAACAGAACCGTCAGAAATGATGGATTAACTAGAGTTTAGAATAAAAAAATGTCGAGGTAACCGAAATTTATAATGAAATATCGCTTTTGCTCAAAAATGTTTTCAAAATATGAACTTAAATAGTACAAGGAAAAAATATTTGGTGTTATGGGTATCATATACAAATGACACGCCTACAAAGGTGACGACAGGAAGTGTGCATACATTGTCACATTGCACCATGAGCACCTGATAAATATTGCAGCTCTAACATATTATTAAAGAAGATGGTAAAATATTATACTGAAGCTTGATATCGCGATGAAATTAGTGAAAAGATATAATTCTATTCAATGGTAGTATAAGGAGGGTTCATAAAGGATAATATAGTTCTTACATTGAATACTTCTTACCATGATCATGGTTTATTTTGTAACCTTAGATTAGTCGATCGCTTAGTTAACTATTTTTCATAAAACTGTTCCCAGACGTCAATTCATGACAACATATTTTTTTAGTGATTTTAGAAAAAATACTTCGAAATACTAAATCGAAATTATCGGAATTTTAACGTAATACTGAACATTACTTTTTTTTTAAACTAAACTATGTGAATTTAGTACTTTAGTACACATGACATATTCTAAACTTTACCAAAATA